CTGCGTTTGACCACAATTCCCTTGAAAATGTAATTTTTATTGTTGAATGATTTCTGCCATTGGTTAGTGCTTCTATAATTTAATAAATTCCCATATCCACGCATAATTGGATTTATTCAAGCGCATTTTGGAACGAAAATGTCTGTAGTGATACACTTGGAAGGTTTTTAAAAAAATGCTATCATTCCTTTCTCGATTCTACTTTATGCTGGGCAGGTTGTATGAGCTAAAACGGATTCATTTTGATCTAATAAAGGAGTAAATACCTTGCTAAAATTTAATCAATTATTCAAATTTTGATGCCACCGCAATTCCACGAAATTTGATTCTGTCCTCGTTGTTTTGTTTGACGTCTGCCTAGAATAAATTCCATTGATTACCTTTCGGCATGGCGATGTTAATCAGCAAACTTAACAACCTCTTTTTCTCCACTTTCTTGCAAATTGGAAGCTCAATTACTCGAAAGCGCAAATATAAAACAAAACACTCGAAAAGCTAAATTGGATTTGGCCTTTAATAATTAATGTAAAGTTCGCTAGTTATTTTGTGTCAGCTTTAGAAAATTTTAATGACCTAAATCCAGAATTTTAATTGGGAACAAAATAAAGTTGGAAACTGACCTGGTCTCAATCGATTTTTTTGCTTCATGTACGATCTGTGTTTCCTTTGAGAAAGAAAAAAACGTTAAAATTGAACAGAAATTTAATTAATTTCAATGAACATTTTGTCATTTCTATTGTTTAAATTGGAAAACTTTTCATCCGACACATGAAAACTCGGATGTGCGATTGAAAGTTGAAATTTTTTGCGTACATGCGTTCATGTTTTTGATACATGAATGGAAATAAAATCTAAGTTGTAAAATGATTATATGTGCATTAAGTTGGTGATACTGAATGAATTTTAAACTACTCCAAAACTTCAATAATATTTTTTGTTCCAGGTAAGTTCAAACATGACTTAAAAGCGACTGATCTGGAGTAAGTATTAAACACAATAAAAGTCGTTTTATCCTATTTTGCAAACTAGAAAACTTTCGGCAATCAGCGATTCCTACCGTATCCATCCCGACTTAACAATAGTTCGAAAGTTTGGCGGCGGCTTAGTTTTAAGTAATCAAGAAAAATACACAATTTTTCTCAGTTTACTCCGACATTAGACTGGCCCTGCGGGCGCAACAATACGGTTAAACTCAATCCAACTTTTAACTCGCTTTTAAAGTTGCATCATTGCAAAGTTCACGTCAATTAATCTAATCATTCGGGTTTTTTTGTGGAGCATCTCACTTATAGGAGGATCCTTGGGGGACGATCTAATGAACTGGAAACGTCCGAATAAAAAATAGTTTTGCTGGCAGATTGTAAAAAACGCCATCGAAAGGAAGTTTCAGTAGTAAATAAAGGAAGTTTTTAAGGATTGGTTTATCGATCGATCTAGTTATCAGTATGGAACAAATTTCGGAAGTCCTAACATGTTTTTTTTTCCACTTTATGAGTTAAAACAATCAAATCAAATTGCATGTAAATCGTGCATATTTAGAGCAGTGAGTGAGGACCTCGAATCGGACCGGTTCAATCCTATTTAGTAAAACAAAAGGAGAAAAACTTGTCTGACTTCGATTTTTCTTTTCTATTTTACACTTACAAATTAATAAAATACTATTACAAAGCAAATTGTCGAATGCTTTTACCAATAGAGTGTAAATAGTAAATAAAGCAGATTCTAAATATATTCTGTCGAATTTCTAAAAGGTGCGGATGATTGAAAAGCGCCACCAGGAATTGAAAAAAAAGCAAATAAGACAAAAGACAACTTTCTTCAGCCGCTGTGCCTTTAAATCCGGTTTGATTCGTCATGACCGGAATTTTCATAACGAGGAAGCGTACGAGGGGGAATCTGAATTCTTAACTTGCTTGGCGAATTGTTTTATACGGTGTTTTTTTGCTTGAAAAGTTCTGCCATATAATAAGAAAGACGAGTGGTAATAAGAAAGGAAATGTCAAGTAATTTCTGTGACCTACAGATAAACTCGTACTTTCCGCATTCAAATAAGTAAAATGTATGTTTCATCCTTTTTCGTATTTTTTACATTCAATTAATATGGAAGACGCGTTATTGTTCACGGGATATGAACCAGCTGAAAGTACTACACTTTTATTTTTTATTCTCAATTATTTTTAAAGAGTTCATTATCCTAAGTTTGAAACTACTTTGGCGGATAAGTTTTATATTTTCTGCGGTGTTTTGCGTTTTTCTTTGTTGAACTTTTCTGTTTCGTTATATCTTCTTCGATCTAACGAACGATAGCCGCTATCGTGTATATATTAAGGCGCTCACAAATTAAAGTCACCCTGTATCTTTTTCACTTATACCTGTCGTTCATTGAAAGATGCGGCAGCGTACCCTAAGTTTACAGGTCCGGACAACATACGAATGTATGTATTTTATACAAAAATATTGTTTAGGTCTTGAAGATTTAGGTCAACTCAAAAGCATTTGCGAAAATATGTAAGTGACTTTAAACTAACGGCGCGAGCTTCTAGAAAAGTGTGATCTAAGCGGTTATCAATTGTAAAAATTACAATAAAAACGAAGAACCGAAAATTGAAAATGTATAAAGTATCCCTGTAAAACAGAAAATCCGAAGTGGTTTGCTTTAGATATATTTATACAAAGTAACACAACTAATAATTGACAAGAAATATGTTATTTCCATCCAGTCTTCTCTAACACAATTAATAATGTATTAGAGTTTCTGGGCTTACCTCAGTAATTGCATACATGCTGCCAACTTAGACAAGTTATCGAACATTTACGACGGCAACAACGAAATATTTTTAACATAAAATGTGCAATTGCTAAATTATTACTGAAGAAAGACACAACACAAAATTTAGAAATTAATTAACAGAAACAGAAAACATTAATTCATATTTAGAAATTAATTAACAAAATAATTAATCAAAAATCTATAAGGATTTTTTTTCCAAAGTAGCACCTGCTTGCTATTTAGAGGATAATTAACTGGACGGCACTTACTGAGAGACTGAAATAAATAGTTTTTTTGACGAAATATTTAAATTTCTTAATGGTAGACATCCGCATTAACCGAAGCTTACAGTCAGTTTTTTTATTAAATAGCACAGCAAAAAAATTCAAAAAAGTTGCTCGATAAAATGTTGTTATGAAAGGAACTAATCCTATTCAACATAGTTTTGATTTATTTTCCTGACTGCGTTTAATTGTTATTATATTTTTTCTTTCCTGGGTTTCAGTCAAAATGTGAAATATAAGTTCATATCGTTTATTTCATATAACGTTTCGATGAGACAACAACGCCATCATCAGATTTAAAATTCAACACAAACTACAAACACCAATTTTCGATTAAAATATGTTGTACAAAAACTATAATTTACAAGGCATTAAAAGATTCATTAGTTCTTAAGGAAAAAAAAATTTTTGGGAGAGCAAAACATGAAAAACTTACCCGATAATTGGGAAATATCAGATTTTTCAAAGAATTCGATTCTCAGATTTCAAAAAATGTAGTTTTTCCAATTTTGTTTTTTATTTTCATCTTATTTCCAAACAATATTACTAACAAAACAAGAATAGAACGTAAGGTGTTAATGCTCTTGTTTTCCTTATTTTTGCCATCTTATAATTTTATAGATTAATTTGAAACTTCCGTTTTTAAAACACTTATATCCCAAAATAATACAAACACTAATACAGATTTTACTGGTGACCGAACCTAACAGTAGACTATGACTTACAGATCGTAAATATCTTCTGACCAAACTTCTTATGACTAAATTCTCGTAGCGTAAAATCTTATAGACTAAATGATCGTTTCTGCTGTGGTCTCTTTTATACTCAAATCATGCTGATTGATTATAGCAGAAAAAATACTATGTCTTATTTTAAAAGAATAGTCGGCATAAATAGTGACCATATAATAACTCTACTTACTCCTAACGGTGTTGGCCGTTTTTCCTGTTTATGTTTCTCCTAATCGCTTTCAAAATCTTTTTCAAACTGTTTTGTCCATGTTTCAGTTTTTTTAATAACGGCGTTTCCCTCTCTGTTAACACCTTTTTTTCTGGTTTATTATCTGAATAAATTACATATTTTATTTTCTGTGTGACGTTTTTCTTTCATCCTGCGGTCAATCGATTCCTGTTCGTCATCTGTTTCTGTATTTTTTTCATGGCTTCAAACAAATTCCAACTACATTTACCGGACAAGTTTGCGCTAAGCTTTATCATTTTTGAGAAACTTTTGTGAATTAATCGCGTTTAGCAATCCTCATTTTCAATGTTTTTTTTACAATGGCATCTCCCAAAAAATATTATAATAATATTGACGATAAATGTTAATAAATGTGGCTAGTCATTCACTGGTTTGTGCTCAATTCCTTTTGGCCCTGATAACAAAATTATGAATTCACAAAGCTAATGACGATAAAGTAAGCCTTAATAGAAAAAATATATAAATGAATAAATGTACTTTTTTTACTGGCAATTGTTGTCTCAACTTAAACGAAACTTATTATGTATGGAATTAAAACCAAATTATTCGAGGCGCAAAATAAATTAAAGCACAGATGTTTGCATATCTTTTGGGCACATTTTGATTCAGTTGGCATAGCTTTAACTACAAGCTTTGCTGCTTTCTCGAATTTAGTTTATCACTGAAAGTAGTCGGAATAGTAAAAATCCAATTTGAAACAAACAAATACGATATTAGCCATAAATGTTCTTTAACAGAGCTGTATTGACAGGCATGAATTTATTGAATGTCGAGAATAGTTAGCAATAGAAAACAATAGCTGTTTTTAAGTGAATAACTAGATGTTATGCACTTTAAATGTCTGAATTTTAAGCAGTTCCTCTATTTAATCGATAATTGCTATCGCTTGAAAACGTGTAAACAGTTGAAAAACCTGTACCTAACCGAAAACTGATTGGATCAATTAATCAAATGGATTGTTCTGCTTTGATGGCGAACACAGTCTATAAACTCTTCTTTACGTTACCAGAAAATCCGTAACCACCCAAAGCTGAACGCTACCGTAATAATTGATTCAATTGACTCGTTCCAAGCTTTCAAATTTGAAATTCCCCTCTACAAAAGGCTTTTACTCCGACTCTGTATCATTGCAAGAAGTTTTTCACTATGGGACCATTAACACAGGCCGGAGGCCGACTTTAGCCAGCTGTGCGGCAACAACCGAACTCGTATGCTTTGCACAAGCAATGACGCTGTTACTCGTCGCCGGTATTCGTTAAAAGTTTGAATTTCTAACCAAGCGGGCAGTGTTTAGTTTTTTTCGCATTTAAACTGCATTCGTGTGGGTGGTTTGAGTGATATTTAGCTTCAATCTGACTCGAAGGACCAAAGTTTTATTGCAAGTGGAAGATTTGAAAGGTTGATGGGCCGCCCAATAAGTTTATGACTTGGTGCTTTACATTTGCTTGCAGAGGGGCACTATTCCGCCAGATACTCAAATAGTTGCGAGGATAAATAGAGATATTACTAATTGCCCCCAGTTAATCCTCTTTGATTTCACGCTCGATCTAAGCAAATATTTCCACAAACGCATAATTAACCGCAATGTCCAATAAACTCCAAAGTAAACAATCACCTAATTAAATAATATTCTGTTTGCCCTAACGCCTTATCAATTATTTGTGTCAACACCCACTGAATTCGCACTATCGCTGGTACGACTTAATATCAAATACAGTCACTGTGGCATGAAGTTGTTGTAAAAACAAGAAAACTCCATAAAAGATCCTTTCAAACCCATAACCCAGATGGGTAAAATAAAACAAACACCAGCTAAGAAAACGAAAATGGCAGACCTCGTGGCGGAAAGGCGCAAATCGGTGAATCTGAAGAGATCAAAATCGGTTAGAGCATCGTTGAAGTTCATCAGCACCAAGTTTCTCAGCAATCATTCACAACCAGTGGAGGAAATGTTGAACAAAACACCATCGATGTCCAGTTTGCAGGAGTTTTACCGCCCAGAGCGAAAGTCCAGATTTATTGAGCACTTCCAAAGAAACGTGCCAGTTGAAACGATTTTAAAAACCCCAATGATTCGAGTAGATCAGGGAACTGGACGAGGGTTTAAGAAGCCGGAGAAACTAAACAAAAATCGTCGAGACTTACTAGACGGTCACATAAAAATTACAACTCCCCCCGATGTGGTCGCCCCAAAAGCTGCTCAGCTGCTACAAATTCCGGGGATAAAACCAAGCAGTGATCCGTTTAAAACGAGCCAAAACGGCTTAAGGCGAATGCATAGTGAAAAGTGTCCGCATCACGGAAAATTCAGTGACTATAATTACGATTACCGAACTAGCGGATTTCAAAGGGGTGCCCTCAGGCTGTCCATCAGTGCCCGAAGGAAGCGTCTCACGAGGAATTCGTCCTTGTCCGACGACGAAAATAAAAGTAAGTGTCACGTAACTGTAAAATATTTAACCTGTTTCAAGCTCGGAAGAGCTTTAAGGTCTCGAGATATACCTGCATTTTAGATCGGCTTCAAGCTTTTGTTGTCTTGAATAATACAGCTTACCTTTAATTGCGTTTGATAACTTTTACCTTTGAGTTTGAAACTTCCCAGAGGGAATTTTTTAAAAGTCCAAACATTTACGGTAATTTTATCAATCTTCAATATTTGCAAAATTGGAAGAAACAACTATAGAGCGTGATTGAAATTTGACGTCATTCCTATGGATGTGTTTAGGGAGTACAGGAAAAATAGCAAAAAACATTAATTCTGTCCAAAAACGGAGCTATTTGCAAAAAACTACATCAGAAGGACGGCAACAATGTTTTTTTACGGTTGCCTCTTTAACATTACGTAAATACCTGTTGCTTCTTAAATATCAAAAGCTTGAGTAACCATAGTTACTTGAGTAAACACAGAAAGTGAGGTTGACATGCATTTAAATAGGTTAGGGTAACGGATGGCAACAAAACCCTCCTATAAAATAGATTTAGAAAAGTTAAAGGATGTTATGGATCAATGATGTTTTCAATTAAGTTCTTAATTCGCAAGAGGTATTCGAAGTTCTGCCCATTTAATTCTTCAAACATGTTTGTGCCCGTGTAAACACTATTGTGCACTCTTTGCAACATTACTGGGATTTCATTTTGAGCATTTTGCGCAGCAGCGTGTCGCATTCGGTTAATTGACTCGTGCTCAATTTGTACCGGTGTTCAGTAGACCAGAGATTTAATGTGCTCTGTGTATCTTACATACATGGTATGCATGTTGCCCTTCCTCGGTAATTATCCGGTGCATAGTTACCTGAGAAAGTGTCTGTTATTGTGAAATGCTCCGAGTACCCCTTTGCAGCTCTTTGTTGGTGTAAGTTCTTACATGTTCTGCGCTATGTTATTGTGGAATTTCCCCAAACTAATAGAATGTCCGCTACTATCTATATCTACCTCTCACTATCAGTTAGCGACAAAAAACATCGTTGCCGCTTTGAATTTTCATTAAAAAAATTGTAGAAGAGTACTTTTTAATATAAAAATATTTGATAATTTGAAGCAAAGATCGTAAATTGTCTTTTCGAATGCTTAAGTATTTCAATAGACTACCAATCAAACATGGGACCATTTCAAAATAATTCTGATCAATAAAGTTGAAATTTGGTTTTCAAGTGTAATATCTTGTATAATTTTTTGTAAAAAAAATTTCAATTTTAGCCTTTAAATTAAATCACTTAAAGTGAATGTCGCCAATTTTGAGTTACCCGATTTTCGCAAGACATTAATGAAAATCACAGTTTCCCCATTTCATCGGTTCTAAATTTCCTGCCCTTTAATTCCCCATCTAAGAAAGTTGTTTAAAAACATACTTTATCTTCACCAGAATCACATTTACATGAAATAAACCCCAAATCATCAACAATTCCAACAATGTTACGTATGTAAAACACATCGACCATAATAATTATTCATTGCATGCAACAAGAAATGTTTAATGCGAAGGTTCAGAGGAAAGCTGATTAATCGGATAGCAGCAGCATCCTGCTAGACAGAAACTCTAAATGCCTTATCTAAACTGTGAAAACTTGAAATAAATTTGTCATGCTAAATAATTCTCCTGACCTATTTTCCATTGAGTGAAATATTTGAGGTCACCTTCTATAAGGTCAATTTGATTTATCTTTTCTGAAACGTTGAGATATTTTGTATGCAAATTTTCTGGAGCCATTGTTTGTCGATCAAGCATTTGAATGATGGACTGCGAAAGGTATTTCATAACTTCTTCGTACTGTCTGCGGAGTTTCAGCCAGAAAAATTGAATTTATGCTTAAGCACGCTCTAGTATTGTATACGTAACCAGAATAAAAATATTCTGTTATTTTTGGGTGGTTTTTATTCAGTTTATTTGTAACTGGAAAACTATTAGCGAGACATTTCTGTTTGGTAAAACTGTGCATTTAAATGAAATTTTACGCTCGGAGGAGAATAATTAACAACACTGTATAAAAATGGAGCAATTTTCTTACAACATAACTGTACAAGTCTGACAATAAAATTAATTTTAACTTTAAATATATGAGAGTGTTGTTATTTTCACGTTTATTTTTTCGGGTGAAAATTACTTACTTTTCACCCGCGTAAGAACTGAAATCGATGACACATTGTGGTTAAAGACGGAAAATTGAAATGAATTTCAGTTGAAATATGATGAGTTTGTTCCGAAAAGCACCTTTCAAAATAGGTACATGGATCATGTATTTCTATGACTTACAAGCTTTAAGTACATATTTATCGAAATTGATAGTATATTTGAACCGTATATTGCACCTGAATGTGTGTTTGTCAGTCACCTAGCCTTAAAAATATTGTTGATTTTTGGAAAATTTGTCAATAGATGTATTCGCTATGAGCTGCTTTATAATTTTTCGGCATCTACTTTGCAAAAATAACTATTCTGGGCGCTACGTTGCGTTGCGTTGCATTTTTACGTAATTTTTGACTAATGTTGGGATTCGTTAGCGTAAATTCTCCAGGTGTAAAGAATTTTCCTCCCGACTTACATATTATTTTCTAACATAGTGATGTCTGCCATTTTTCTTCTATACTTATAACTTCTGTAAGCACCTGATAGGCCAATTGATGCCAATAGTTCAAAAATTCGTATACCTACCTATACATTATTTCAGAATTTGACAAAACTTTATTAATTTCTTTGATTTTAAAATTAATTAATGATGAATGATTTTAATGTTTGTAGTTAAAATGATATGTAAACTTAATTGGAAAATTTGATCCGCTCTGGAGATTTAGCTGACCTCGGCTCTGTACGTCTTCTGTTTGAGAAATGATCCCCTTTCCACCTTGTTATGTACGATACTATTGCCACAGATTATAATAATATTTATGCTGTTTATTATGAAGCAATTATTCTGTATCAGAACATTCAATTAAATACAAGCAAGTACAGGTTTCCGGTGAAATATTATCGCAGAGCTATTTACATTGGACACTGCCATTAGGGCCTGACAATGTGTTTTTATGGAAATTTTAACTGTTTTTGTGATTAGCTGCCTTGATATCTATAAGATGCGTCACAATGTTGTTTCTGAAATTTATTTATCGGGCATATACGTTTCTCCTGCATATTGCCAGTTGTCTTCAAAAACAGCTCAGTTTTCAGCTCCAACAAGTTTTATTGTACTGACTATTAAACCTCCCAGGAAGGGACGCAAAAGTGATACTTTAAAAACACGTAAACTAGAACGCTATAAAGTGATTATTAGTGTTCTAGCTAACATATCTGAAGTTGCAATCCACTGGTGCTTGCGAAACGTTAAAAATACGTTTTTCGACCACTGGCTAGAAGCTCGAAGAACTCATAAGTTTTAATTACTTATCGTTTTAAAAAAGTTAAGTGACTGAACTAAAGAATCAGTTTTTTCGGTTTAGGCGGCAAAAATAAAAAATATTACATTTTCCTTTGTTGTCCAACATTTCAGGGCCATAGTTGGTTTTCGAGATAAAAAAGTTTCCACAATTTTCCAATCTAATTTGGAAAAACTAGGCAACATAATATTTGCAATATGTATTAATAAAGCAGCAATATTTTTTTGCTTGAAAACCCTAATACTGGAAAACTCGGACTTTCTAAGGGAATCGGGTTATATGAACTTTCCATTTGATCTTTATTCATAATGGCACGTAATTTAATGTAATTCGCTGTATATTGTAAAATACGAATAATAAATGTCAAATATCCCCTTGGCAAGGTCGTATTTCGAATTTCCATCGAACTTTAAACTTAGGAAGTATTCAAAGAGTGTGCAGTGCCTCATTACGAGGTAGGAATACTATGGAAAGTATTTTAATTTAACGAGCTAACTTTTCGGATGAGAGAACAAGAAAAAAAGTTTAACTGAATTTGGTGGTGGATTACTTGACATTCAAACCACAGACCTAAGAAATGGATTTTTCAATTGAGGTAATTTCTATGCAGGAGATTAAAAACTTTTTGTCATTTTTATAAGTGATAGTCTTACTATATATTTATAATTCAGAACCACACGTGCAAATTTCACAAAACTTTGAAACTATAATTCATTACAGTTTCCTAAACAATACTTTTCACTCTTTGCGACTTCAACTGCTGAACTTTCCACACTGAACAGGAAATCTGCTGATGTTGAAGTTGTGCTAGTTTTTGATGCAACCAGAGAGTATAATATTTTTCATTGAGTTAATTTATGCAAAATGACCATATGAAATTAATATAATACATATATAAGCGTTACTGACAACTTGAAGTCAGTTMATACTGATCTATGAATTTTTCAATTTTTTAAATCCAACTTCAATATCTCAAATACCGCTGGCCCCATTTTCAGCAGCCCTTCCATTTTCTCCTGTTTATTCATTTAAAGCTTTAAATATTTAATTAGCCTTATTTCATTCTTATAGCGCTTTAATTCATAACGTTTGAGACGGATTACAGTCAGTCAGTCAGTCAGTCGGTGGTTTGCAATTAAAAATCAGGTTTTCCAGGCCATTAAACACCTTCTGCCCTAATTAATTAAACGGAGTTAATTTGCTTTTGCGATTAGTATTATTTGAGCTTCCCTTCATCTTATACGATTTCTTGCAGTTCTCAGTTTTATAACCTGTTTTGTTTTATATTTCGTAAAGTGTCCAAGTTTTTCTATACAGAGTCTTTTTACCATTGTCTACCCAAAGAGTGTGCTGAACAAATATTTTCAGATTATTTTTGAAGCCTTTTTCCATTATGCGAATTATGAGAATTACATACTAAACGAGAAATGTCAGTGTTGATTTTATTAGGGTTATTTTTCATTGTGGTTCAAAGGTTTCAGCCCTTTTTAAAATATTTTTTATTAACCAGTCAAGATTTGATAGTTAATATATTTTTTCGAAATACATATCTCTATATTACTGAT